GAGGGATCCAGTCAGTAATTTGTTGATGCAAAAGGGATTGCACATCATGACCACTTCACAGAAACTGCATGAAAGCCTGCATCATTTGAAGTGCACTCGAGATCATGTCCATCAACCAATTGAGGGCTCAACCCAAGTGCATGGCCGAAATGTCGCGCGTTCCGAACTGTCGGAAATCTATCCCAGGAAGTTCGGTAGACTTGTTGCCAAGACACTGCTGAAAGTCCGTTTTCCCATGGAGAAACCAGTAGGATCAATTGCCGACACTGCATTATCAATTTTTGATGTTTTTGCAGCCGAAGCCCATGCAGCAACAGTCAAAGAACGTCCACCAAAGAGATGCAAGACAGTTCCCAGACAAGGGGTTAAAACACCCGCTGCAGCTGGCGCATCCGACCAGAACGGAGATGCCAAACGTCCCAGAACAGAGAGATTAACCGATATCAATCCAAAATCCAATACCAACAGCCATAAGCCTGCATCCGAGCAAATTCAGATGATTGTCAGACAAATTGAAGGGGAACTCCCAAGGGTTGGTAAGAGGGTCATAAATAATCCCAAAATAATCCAAGACATGGCCAAAGAATTTCCAGAAATAACCATCAAAGCCATTTTAGCTTGCAAAAGAACCAACCGCAGGATGGGTCCCCCATCAAACGTCCATGCCAGGGAAGCACCACTTCGAAGAAGCATCATGAAAATTCGAGACTCAAACGACATTGTCCTAGATGATGAGTGGGAAAATTATGAGAACCTGTCTCACCGAAAAATCATAAGGTCATCTCCACCGTGTCGGGTGAATATAACGATGTTTGCAGCCAATCCAAATGACCTGCCACCAGACCAGCAGGACAATGCCGGAGCCCGTTCTCAGCCAAGTGTCCATGTGCCCGAAACAACCGGTGTTCCAATCATGGAAGATCAGAATGTAACCCCCGAAATTGACAGTGTATCCAAACAATCTGAAGAGACACCCCAAGAGAGGTTGGAAGTTGTAGAAAAGACAGTCCAATCAACCCTTGAAGAGCAGCCTGCAGTGTCAGATCCGAACACGGGATGCGAGCAGCCTGACGTTGAAATGCACGGAGCACGTTTCAGAGCTCTTCCCCGTGAGGAACAAGCTATGCTCAGACGGGCTCACAAGAACCTATGTCATCCCAGTGCTGAACAACTCAGTGCCACCTTGCGCAATCAGGGGTGCAGACCTGAAATTCATCAAGCTGTTTTCGATATGAAGTGTCCAACTTGTGCTGCCAGTCAGAAGCCAAAACTGTCAAGGCCCAGTTCTCTGAAGCCGGAATTGGACTTCAATGACAAAGTTCTCATGGATGGTATCAAGTGGACTTCCAAACAGGGACAAAGTTTTCATTTCCATCATTTCTTGGATCAAGCCACCAATTTTCATGTAGCAATTCCGGCACAAAACAGGACTGCCGAACAAGCAATTCAGAAGACGACTGAAGCATGGCTTCAATGGGCAGGTCCCCCAAACATGTTGGTGACAGATCCCGCAACCTAGTTTACAAGTGAAATGTTTCAGGATTTTCTTCAGAGAAACGACATCAAAGGCATCACGACCTCACCGAATGCACACTGGCAAAACGGTAGGTGTGAACGACATGGTGAAATCTTGCAAAGTATGTTGACAAAAATCGACCTGGAACAACCCATCACCACTTATTGGGAATTTCATCAAGCCTTGGTCCAGAGCACTCATGCGAAAAACACTTTGAGCATTCGAAGAGGGTATTCTCCAGAAATTCTTGTGTTTGGCGAAAGTTCTAAAATACCAGGGTCCATAACCAGCAGTGATGACATGACCGCTCATGAAAGTGCAAATCGTGATGATGCGCAGGGGATTTTGTTCCGCAGAAATTTGGCACCCAGAGAAAAAGCCAGAGTAGCGTTCCACCAAGCGGACAATGACCAAGCCTGCGCAGGGCATGCCTCAGAAGATCCCGACCGGATCGACAGTCATACCAAATTGGTGAATGGATCATGTTATGGCAACCCCAAAAGACAGGTACTGGGTATTGGTTTGGTCCAGCCAAAGTTGTACAGATTGAAAACCAGTTGTCGATCTGGGCCACCATGGGAGGCAAGCTGCATCGAAGAGCCTTAGAGCATGTCCGTCCAGTTTGTTCCTCTGAAGCCCGGCAGATTTCAGACTCCGAAGTGCCACTCACCGACACGCCAAAAGGCAACATCACTCCAGAAATTCCACATGAAGAAATTTCCAATAATCAGAATCAACCGAATAACCCTCATAACAACCACCAAGATAATCCGGATAATGATGATAACAGTCAATCACAAGATCAACCTGACAACGAACCTGAGGGAGAAAATGCTGAATCAACACCCAATGATGATTTCTTCAATAACCCTGTTGATACACCGATTCCAGAGAACTCACCCGACGAAGATCTGGTGACCACACACCTTGTGTGCGTGGAGGACGAGGTGTTGGAAGTGAATCCAATTGAGACTCCATGTGCTTGGCGTTGCGAGTTTGAAGTGCCGGGATATCTTTCTGAGAAAGACCTGAACAGGCCTCCTCCTGCAAGTCTTTTGATAGCAACCACCGAGAAAAAGCAAAGGACAGAGGTCAAATTACACTTTGACGAAAGAAGAACAAGCTGCCTTCCGCAAAGCCAAAGAAAGTGAGATTCAGAATTGGATTCATACGGGAACAGTATCCAAAATACTCAGGGCTAAATTAGCCCCCGAACAGATACTTCGATGCCGTTGGATTTTAGTATGGAAACCTCTTGAAGAACACAGGGAAAAGATTGATGACATCAAAATTCAATCAGAAAAATTGAAGTCTCACAAACCAAAGGCCAGATTAGTAGTTCTTGGTTACCTTGATCCCAGCTTGACAGAGGTTCCCCGGGATAGCCCAACCTTAGGAAGACAATCCAAGATGCTATTACTCCAATTAATATCATCAAAGGGGTGGAGCTTAGGATCTTTCGATATCAAGGCTGCATTTCTCCAGGGACGCACTCAGAAAGACAGAGTCATGGGCGTGGAACCGGTCCCTGAATTGGCAGAAGCCCTGAAGTTGAGACCCGATGAAGTGTGCAAGCTGGACAAATCAGCTTATGGTTTAATCGACGCTCCTTTTCTATGGTTCAAAACTTTGAGCGAAGAACTCCTGGCCCTTGGCATGCAACCAAGCCCTTTTGATCCATGCGTTTTCATACTTCGACATCACGAAACAAATGAAATCACAGGTGCACTTGGCATACATGTAGATGATGGAATCTATGGAGGAAATTCCTATTTTCATGAACAAATTTCCAAGCTCGGAAAGAAGTATCCTTTCGGTTCCAAGAAATCCAAAGCGTTCACTTTCACTGGTATTGAATTGTTTCAACATCCTGACAACAGCATTGAGCTTTCCCAAACAAAATATGTGAATCAGATCCCAGCCATTCAGCTTTCACAAGAGCGAAGAAGCCAAGAGAATGAATTGGTGACCGAGAAGGAAAGACACCTTCTTCGCGGCCTCGTGGGGTCCCTCCAGTATGCAGCCGTGCACACACGTCCAGACATTGCTAGCGCTTTAAGCCATTTACAATCCCAAATAAATTCCGCCACTGTAGCCACTTTGATAACAGCCAATAAAGTACTCCATAATGCGAAGAAACACAGTGATGTTCATATCAAAATTCAACCCATCAAGACCGAAGACCTTAGATTCATTGCCTTTTCAGATGCATCGTTTGCATCCAAAAGTAAGCCAGAGTCCCATGCTGGAATGATCATTTTAGCAACTCACCGTGAGATTTCTCAAAATCAGTCCTGTCCTATAAGCCCAATTTCCTGGGGAACAAAGAAGATTCAAAGGATCGTTACAAGCACACTATCAGCAGAAACCTCAGCCTTATCAACAACTCTTGATCAGCTCACATGGTTGAGACTCTATTGGGCATGGATTTTGGATCCGAAATCAGAATGGCAAAAGCCAGAATCAGCACAAAAGCTTCCACCAGCAATTTCCATTCCAACTTACAAAGCAACAGAAAGTGACTTTGCAATTACCTGACAACGCGAACAGCCATTCCTAAGTGCCAAGAATTTCGCACACAACTCCTCGCAAGATCAATAAAAGACATACTCTCCATTCTTTAACCAAAGTGATGGAGGCCACGTTTTTGCGGGAGACCTTGCGAAAGGGAAGATACTGTCTCCACGATGCCGAAGAGGTGTTGAAGAATCGTGCATCAGCACGTAACCGCTTGAAATGGCTCCAAGCAAGCACAGGCACAGATCAAATGAATACTGAATCAAAAAACTTTTGAAGTTTTGGGAATGTGAAACGTATACATTTGATCAGTACAGATACCTCATGAAGTGAACATGCCTGTACCTCCTGAAGCCAGAGCCGATCATCATGTGATCCCAGTTCCTGCAGGGTGGTTCAACCTTGATGTCACAGGTGTTTGGGCTCAGGGAGCCAATTAGGAGAAGTGGCGGGCGGGATCACACCTTGTGGTAAGCCATAGGCATTGGCGGTGACACTCACAGCTGTGGCCAGCTGACGTTTGCATAGGTGGTGCAACATCCGGGAAAACAAGCTGCGCGGCCGCAGCTCCAGGTGACTTTGGTGGTCTGCTTGGGATCAGGGAGCCTCTGTTACCAATTCACAATACATATACATATATATATATATACATATACATATATATATACATATATATATATACATATACATATACATATATATATACATATATATATACATACATATATATATACATACATATTTACATATATATATATACATATATATACATATATATATATACATATATATGAGCACCAGTCAAAATCCTTTACATATCAGTAGTTGTTATAATTGGTTATCGCTTTTGGGGGGGGCCATATCGCTTTACAGTGTTTCCTGCACATCTCTGACAAAAAAAATCCTGCAATACTAAAGTAGTCTTCAACCATTTTGACCGTGACTCATATATATACATATAATGATCCAAAGATTTGCTTGAAACCACATCCAAGAACGATTGCCATGGTAGATTAAGCCATGCTCAACCTCTGTACTGGAAAATTTGAGCAGAGGGAGACATGGCATGACACATGCGACACATGCCATGCCATGACACCCCAGGCACTCTGACCTGGAGCTGCCATACGATGCCATGAGATCTCACGAGGACCGTAGCTCCTCCTCTTTGGATGTGGGCTTCCTGCCATCAAGAGCTCCCAAGTGCTGAAATTCTACTCCGACAAAGTGAAAGAACATTTTTCGGAACATCACAAGTGTATGATGAAGGATGATAAAGGTATCATGTTTCATGAACGTGTCCAAGAACTCACGAGAATTATCTAGATTCTCTAGATTCTAGATGACTTGTATGATCCATGCTTAGATAGTCATCTGACAAAAAACGACTACGCCAATAAACATGCGGTCAGTTTGTAGTGAGCCGTCGTGGAGCCTCGCAATTTGTCCCTCTTCTTCCATCTTTCCTTCCTGGCGCCAAAAAACTGATCAAAATCTACACCCGGTGGCCCCAAAGGCGGCGTCAACGGCTTTGCTGCGAAGCTGCACCTCAGGTTTATCCTGCACACAGAAGTTCATGGCCTGAAGTACACTTTTTCAAAGCGTTCACAAAGGTGTGATTGTCGTGACTGGATACGACTGGGGCAATGCGACAAAACATGCGAAACAACGCCAAGTGGATGCACAATGCCAATATATTCTACTGTATTTGTCCGGTTTAACATCCCTCCCACTATCATGTTGGAACTCTGAGCATGAGGCTAAAATCAGCACGATCAGCTGCAATGTTGTGATTCCACCGAGCACCAACATTAGTACGCCTTGAGTCAAGGCTTTCTGAATGCCAAGGCAAAAGCATAGAGGGACACTTAACCACTCGACATCAAAGCATGAAGAATCTTCCCGAGGCACCAACTGTCACCAACTGCTGAAACCCTTTGAAACGTCACTGAAAGATGGGATGGGCTCAAACCTGGGCCTTGTAATGCCTTGTAGAACATGTCCCAATTTGAGAATCAACAATCTGTTGACCCGTAGCATCCTGTAGCATCCCGTAGCCACATCTTATCAAATGGTTGACAAACCCCCCCTGTATTTGGTTTGAAACGGTCAAACACCCCAATGTTTCAAGCATGTTGAAACATGTTGAAACTATGACTCCCCATCCTCCCCATAGTCAGAATATGTTTTCATTGACCCTTGTGTCAATGAACTTCCTACTATTCCCCCTAATTCCAGATCATTCCCATAAGTTGATTTCCCAGCAATGGCCGCAAACCCCTGAGATTACTGCTTAACTCCGCGAATTGGTGTTGATTTGCACTTAGTATATCTCTCAATTCAGTGGATCCTACGCTGTTTTCTATCCTTTCCCCAATTGTTAGTGGGATAAAAGTGATCACATCCCCATGAAAACATATGAAATGAATAAAGAAAGAAATAAATAAAATAAATATATATATATATGTATTTATATATATATATGTATTAGATATATATATATATAAATATATAACATTATATAACCATGTAAGACCCATACAGGAATCACCAAATCTCACCATTTTTGCTGATTGGGCGCCTCCTCGAGGCGCTTCAACCTCGTCCGCCGTGTTGGCATCCGTCGCCAGGACCGGTGCCCCGTCCGGGGTCCGGGCCCCGCTCTGCGGGGTGCTCCACCAGTCCTGAAAATGTAAAAATCAGCTGCAACATCTCTCAACATCTCTCAACATATCTCAACGTGCTGCAAGTGATCTTAAGATATCATCAATGTGATGTTGTGATGTTCAATGTTGACTTCAGATCCTGATAACTTTTCAAAATGATGTGACACTTGGGTGGGTGGAGCTGAAAGGTAGCAGCCTTGGCCCAACTGTGTCATGCATCAAGAACTGTAAGTACAACATATTGCAACATCTTACAGGGACGGAAAGGCTGGGTGTCTTGGGACAGCTGTTGCGTTTCAGTCCTGCATTGTGTCTGTGAGTGGGTAGTCTACAAAAGCTGCGGCAGTTGCACACCTTGGCAGCGGTGGTTAAAGCCAATGACCCAATGACCCAATGACCCAGACTTTCTGAATCATTGAGGAAGCGGCAGCAGAACTACTGTCAGTAGGAGCGACAGGACGCAGGACACAACGCTAGGTGATTCTCGCTCGATTTTCACCTGGGACTATTGGTGAAAGCGGCATTTTCCTATTCTCATGAAATACGATGAAATATGATGAAATACGACGAATTCACATGAAGTCCGAAACGATGCGAAACGTGTGACAGCCACTGAGTTCTTCGGAGCCCTGCCTCTCCATCTGGACCAAGCTTCCTCTTCCATTGGCCGAGTGCCTCTTCACCTTCCGGGGCAGAATCTGCAAGGTGGAGGACTGAACAAAGTCCCAAATTTGTGAGTTTCCAAACTTGATCAAGCTTCACCAAAAGCTTCACGGATTCTTCACGGATTCTTCACGGTCCGGCTATTCTTGAGTTTCAATTATCCCCTCCAAGTCAGATCTCTCTAAAGGAAAGTCTCTTCAACAAGCTATGACAAGCATTTTCCCTGTGAGACCTTCGTATATAACGTTTGTATGTTGATGTATTTTGATATCTTCAAAGTCTAGTCCCATTTTCGAAGCACATTCAAAGCCGAGAACCGGACACCATCCTTCAAGCGTCAAGCCTCCTAAGGACAAGAGAATTCCATACATTCAATGTCTTTTAGTCCGTGGGTTCATCGGTTGATTTGTTCATGGGACATGTTTCTTCTCTTGCCATTGCAATGTCTAAAACACCCAAACAAGGCCTTTCATCTCTGAAAGTGTCACACCTCATTGTTCCAGGTCTGACTGCATGGATCCGCATGGAAAGAAGGAAGAATCAGTGCAACAAAATGCAAATATCATCAAATATCAAACCCATGAGATGACAGGTTTTATATGGTTTTATGTTTCTGGATTCAAGGACATGGTTGAAGAACCCAAACTTCCAAGCAAGGCACTCAAACCCAGCCGCGTGAATCTGAGAAGCAGCTACGCACTTGTAATGAAGTGCAACTTGTGTCGATAGAATATGCCTGAAAGGTCTTCGAAGCCCGCCTCTGCTTCAATACTTGGGCAGTGGTAAACCCCCCGTGTGATATTTGGATATTTGGGTACCATCACTGAAACCACCGTGCTTTGATCCATACAGATCGAGGCCCAAAGCTTCTGCATGTGCCATCTGCAGATCTGTCAAGTTTTGTATGGAAAGTGGTACATTGCGGCATCTGCTCTTTTCCCCACCCAGGGCACGAGTAAGCACATACGCTATGCACATACAGATACACATTATACAATTTCGCAATATTGCACATACATGATTGTACACATCTTCAAGTACCACATCCAGCGTGTGCACTACATGACATTTTCAGCAAGCTTCTTTGAGCTGCCTCTGAGACGCTGAAAAGACACAGCCCAACTTTCAGCTGTACGTTGGTTCTCAGCTTCAGTAACATTAAATAACGTTGACTGGAAATCTTCAGGGCATTTAAAATTCCGCTCTGCACTCTGCCCTGTTACATATTGCTTCCCCCACAAGGCCGAAGGGTGAAATGCTGATCAAATGCTGATCAAATGCTGATCATAGTCTTGGCGGAAGGATGATCTCGCACGGCCCCTGGCAACGATTTCAACAAGCGATCACATTGCGTGACTCGAGGGAGCAAAGTGAGCAAAGTGGATCCAAGTGACGGATGCCCAAGTAGTTCAGGAGCTCAAAGCCGTTCCAAAATGTCTTCGAAACCACAGACCTTAGGAAATGAAACATGAAACACAATGAAACCTGAAGAAACCATGATGCCACAGCGCCGGCTTTTCCCACCTTTTTCTCTGTCCCAGTTGAAAGGTGTTGAATGATGAAAGCCAAGGCACTGTAGCCCATGCACTTGCAACTGCTGTGTGAGTTTGTATTGTTCACCTCAAACATCCCATGACGTCCCGGCCCAAGCCTTCTTTTGCACGGGGCATCGGTAGGAAGTACAAGCATCTCCCAATGACAACATGTCAAGACTGTCAAAAACATTCAAAACCATGCAAAATGCAAAACCATGCAAAACCTCCAAAACATCAACGAGGACATTGAAAAGCCAGCTTTGGGTCAGCGATGAACAGCCATGGAACAAAAGGCGTCGTTCTTCTTTGCAATGGCCTGTGCTTCTCCCTCTGCCTCAATAGCAATCATAGCAATCAATGGGAGGCTATTGCGGCTGTATGCGGCTGTAAAGTCCCTGTTGGAAGCTTCATACTCCACTGCCTCATTTTGCAGCTTCTGCACTGCCTGGCCAGGAAAACAGCTTCAAGTTGACTTCAAGAAGTCTGCTTGATAGTGGGTTTCAATGTTTTCAACTGTTTTCGTGAATTCTGCTTACAGTTCATTCGAACTCCCCAGGAGTGACAAGCTCAAGCAAAACCAAAACCAAACTGCGCACAGTAAGATGTGTCAAGGTCAAACATGGTCAAACATGGTGAAACAATGTATCATTCTGCACCTGCTGGGCCTTTAGCACTTCCGTTGCAAAGGTGACCTGGACAAGCTGAGTTGCGGTAAACTACGCAGTTCAAGAGTTTCCCTCAGCTGTACGATCTGTGTGAGTCCTTAGGTTCTTTCTCCAGTTTGCCTGCTATCGTTACGTATCCTTACGTATCCTTACGTATCCTTGCCTCCTGATTTTAGCCATCTCAAATATATCCTGAACGGTCATGAGATCTCGGGCAGTTTTGTACCTTTTTCGTCTCCTGCTCCAGCCGTGCGATTTGAATGTGCTGCTCCTGCACCTAGCACAACAGCCATCAACAGCCATCAACAGCACCTACCGTGGCAGGCATGGCCCCGCCATCCCCCGCCATCGCCTGCGTCTCGCGAATGGCGTCTTCCTGGCCGTTGCGGCGGGTCGACAACAGAACGGCTGTGGCCATGGGTTTTGGGAATCGACATGTCTGCAGCCCAGTGACAAATGCATCTGGCAGGTGAACAGTCCGAAGTTGAAAGAAGGGCACCTGTCTCTTGCTGAGCTGCGGCTAGAAATTCAGTCAGCAGTGTTCTTTGATGTTCTTTGCGCATGTTGTGCCATCTTGGAGAATCCCCTTGGTCCCTTCGTCTAAACAATCCATCGAAATATACGAGTTTTTGTATCTCCACTTCAAGTCCATTCAAAATGTTTACATATCTTACGTCAATCAAGCAGCTTCAACGTCACAAAGTCTTGTGTCAATCAGGATCCGTCGGGCGCCTCTGCAAAGGCATGCTGCTTGAAGTGCTCCTTGGAGGAGATACTGTGCGACAGTGGCTGTGACAGTGGCTGTGTGACACAACTTCCCGGTTGCCACGGGTCGTCCAGTTTCCGATGCATCTCCTTGCTGACGAAGGTTCGATTCCTGAAAGGTGGGCCACAGCATACCACAGCCCCTGAAAATGAACAACACGAAGGTGTAACTCTGACTGCGAATATTGAGCACAGTTGATCCACCCCGTCCTGAAGAAAAAATGGGCATTGTGATGTGTGGTTGCTGTTGACAACTGCTCAATCGCCATTCGTACGAAGGTCTTCTCATAGTCTTCCCCAAGTGTAGACCACCTGAGAAGTGTTGCCAAAGGAGGTACTGCAACTGACCACCTCTTTATACCCCAGTTCTCAATAGGATACAGTAATCATGGATAATCCAAACCAAGCGGGATGATCATGCCAGTAGTGAGTGAAATTCAATGACTCCACATTGATCCAATCTGAATGACCAGGTGTGCGGCAAGGTGTACAGCTGGTCAAACATCAACTGGTACTGGAATGAGACCTCCTCAGCCACCAGGCACCATTGGCGCAAGTATTACACAATTGGCGTCATATCATTCATCAACAACCTGGCTTTATTCTGTTTTCTTGTGATTGGCAGCAATATGCTGCAGAGACTCTGCATATTTTGTAATCCAAGAAGCCAAATGAACTGTCAGACCATCCTTCGTGCGGCTTTGCAAGGCAGGTCCTTGGCTTCCCTCTGTCCAATCTTCAAGAAATGAGATGGACTTTACCTCGATCAAAGAAGACAGACTCTGACAGACTGCAATTGCTAAGTCTCTGCTGTCTCTGCCCCTGGTGCAGCCAAACCACGGTTCGGGGGAACTTGATAAAGCTGTTGGTGATGCCCAAATAGTATCCTTTGTCGTTCAAAATGCAAAGGGTCAGCAGAAAGGCCTCAGAAAAGAAAGTCATATCGCCTTAGTCACAAAAGATCAAACATAAGCGAATCATTGAGTCACCGGCTACCGGCACTGTAAGGCTCCTCTGCACAGAATCACGTGAAGAATCTTGGAACAAGTCAGAGCTCTGTCAAGACAACAAGAGAATGGGCAAATGAAATCCACTGTGAAAAAAATTGTAGCGAAAGGTCTTCAAGAAGTGGAAGTGGAGTTCCCATGGAAATATCAGAACTTGCTTTACCGGCGTAAATCACAGTGTTTCACCGTGGCTATGACCTCTACACAAACTGCTGTCCTTCTCAACACTTTCGCTGAGGTAATTGCAGTTGAGACCAAACTCCTGATACCTCAGACACCGCCGCGTCAAGCTTTGACCCATTTTGACCCATTCAGATCATGAATCATCACCACCCTGCGTTTTGCTCTTCCGTGTGGCAAGCCCAAACTGATTCGATGTCACAACATGTCGCACTTTCTCCATGTCCCATTCGCCTCTTTTAATCTAGGTTGATGTCTCTGAGGTTTCATGCTTGGCGTTCTATCAATAATTAAATCAAAACTATAGATCTCACAGAGATAACATTTGAGAAACTGTCGAAAATCAAGTGAGACGAATGCTACATCAGCTTCAGGCTAGCGGTTCCTAGCGGTTCAGGAGGGCTGGACATGGCTGGGCTAAAGCCTCTCAGCGAATATGGTGATCCCGCGATCTCATGCTCTGTACAAGCGCCGACATGCGCCGGCGACAGTGCCGACTTCAATTCGTGCGACTCAAAGTCGGCTGTCAGTTAGTGCAAAGGCGAATCCTCAGAACAGAAACGAACAGCGACATTGCAACCTGCAGAGCTGCGCGTCAATGCCTGCAATTACGCGTCTGCGCTAAAACAAGGTGGGCCAGAGAACCCAAAAGCAAGACGGCACACATCACACCTTTTGTAATATTTTGTGGTGTGGGCAGCTGTGCTCTGCGCGAAATCGACGCAATATGTTTATGGAGACATCGTGAACACTGATGGCATCAGGGGCCACAATTCGCCACAGCATGCTGCCTCAGCTACATCTGCATTTTTTAGTCGCTATTTATGCTTGGGTTTTCGTTTAGCTTGCTTCGCCGCGTGGGGGATCCAGGCCGAAGCAGCTCCTCTGTGTAACGACTTCTCTGTGCAAAAGTTCATCTGTGTAAAGATTTCTCTGGGTAAAAGACTTCTCTGTGTAAAAGTTTCTGTGTGTACAAGTTTCTCTGTGTAAGAGCTACTCTGTGTAAAAGTTTGGCTTCTGTGTGTAAGCGTGTCTGACTGTAAAGACTCCTCAGTTGTTTAAACGCCTCTGTGTGTAAAAGTTTCTGCGTGTAAAAGCTCCTCTGTGTAAAGGCTAATTGTGTAAAAGTTTCTGTGTGTAAAATCTCCTCTGCGTACAGACTTCTCTGTGTGAAAGTTCCTCTGTGTAAAGATTTCTCTGCGTAAAAGACTTCTCTGTGTAAAAGCCTCTGTGTGTACAAGTTTCTCTGTGTAAGAGCTACTCTGTGTAAAAGCTTCTGTGCGGAAAGGCTTCTGTGTGTAAGCATGTCTGTGTAAAGACTCTTCTGTTTAAACTCGCCTCTGTGTGTAACAGCTTCTGCATGTAAAAATCTCCTCTGCGTAAAGGCTACTGGTGTAAAAACTTCTGTCTATAAAAGTTTCTGTGTGTAAAATCTCCTCTGTGTAAAGACTTCTCTGCCTAAAAGACTTCTCTGTGTAAAAGCTCCTGTGTGTAAAGGCGGCTACGTATTTTTCCCGGGATTTTTTTTCAGACTCCCCAGGGAATTTTATTCAGAAACCTGTCCTCACAGGTATTGGCAGGAAGCGAGCAAGCAAGCAAGCAAGCAAGCCAGCCAGCCAGGCAAGCAAACAAGCAAGCAAGCAAGCAAGCACGCAAGCAGCAGCCAGCAAGCAAAAGAGGACAGCAAGCAAGCAAACAAGCAAGCAAGGAAGGGAGGAAGGGAGGCCAGCAAGCAGGCATAATCCAACCCGAAATAAACACATTAAACCTACCCGAAATAGACCTTGAGCCATCTGAAATGTTGAAATCAATTCTCACTAAACTTTAAACCAGCCCCAAACAACTCCGTGAACCAACCTTAAATAGACCCAAACAAACCCTAATCTAACCCTAAACAAACCCTGAACGTACCCGTAAGAAACAGTAGACCAAACATAAATAGACGCTACCAAGCCTAAATAATCCATAAACCATATTTTTCACAAACAAACCTTGAATAATTTCAATCCAGCCCCAAGTAAACCATAAACCTACACCAAGCTAACACCAAACATAAACCCATGGAAAAACAAACAACCTTAAAACAAACCCTGAATCAATCTCAAGTCAACGCTTTAAATAAACACGTTAAACCTACCCTAAAATAAATCCCAGGCCATCCGCAAATAGACAAGCTGAACCAGCCATCAATAAGCACCTTAAACCAACCATAGTTAGACCCGAAACCAACTCTCAAAAGGTTACTTAAATCCATAAATCAACTTTAAACCACAAACCACCCGTAAGTAAACATCCTAAACGAAGCCTAAATCAAATTTAAGCCACCCTTCAATGAATACCCTGACCCCCTAGAAAACAGTACAACAAAACCCTACAGAAACACTTGAAATTTTCAAACCAATTCTACATAAACCTGAAGCCAGCCCCACATAACCCGTCATCCAACTTTAAATAGACCCTAACCTAAACAAACCCTAAATATACCCTGAACGTACCCGAAAGAAACAGCACAAACCAAATTGAAATACCCTCACAAATTTAGATAATCCATAAACCAACTCTAAATAAACGACCAAACATCCTCAACAAGTTTACACCAGATCAAACCTCAAATAAACACCCTAAACCAACCCGAAATAAACCTAAGCCAAATTTTAAGTAAACCCTAAACCAACCCTGAATCAACATTCAAAACTAACCTTAGGTAAACACTTTAAAACCAACCATAGATAAAACAACAAAATACCTAGAATCTTGAAACCGACAGTGAATAAATTTCAAAGCAACCCTACATAACCAAACAAACAATCTTAAATAATTTTCTTAAACAAACCTAAATAAATCACAAATTTACAGCAAATAAACCCCAAACAAACCCTAAATAAGCTTCAAATCTATCCAAAAACAAACAAACCTTAAATCAACCCGAAACCAACCCTAAAGAAACCTTCAACCAACCCCAAGCAAACCTTAAACCAACCCCAAATAACCCCCAAAACCAACAAGAAAGAACACCAGAAACCAAACCTGGTTCAAACAAACCTTAAACCACCCCCAAATAGCCCCCCAAACCAACAAGAAAGAACACCAGAAACCAAACCTGGTTCAAACAAGCCTTAAACCAACCCTAAATAAACACCAAACGCACTGGAAATGAAAGATAATCAAACCCTGAATGAACCTTAAATCTGGCACATGCATCGGGAGATTCTCCCAGAATAGGCTGAGACGAGAGCATGTTCCTGCTCGAAAGGTTTTGCGCAGCCTCCTGCAGGTTGGTGGTGTCTTCTGTGGTAGAGCAGAGTGCCTGAAAAAAAATCTCCTGCAAATCTGAAAAAAATTCCCGGGGGGAACCTGTACCCTGTAAAAGCTCCTCTGCGTACAGGTTTGTTCGTGTAAAAGTTTTTTTGTGTAAAGTCTTCTGTGTGTAAAAGCTTCTGTGTGTAAACGTTTCTTTGTGTAAAAGCATCTGTGTGTAAAATCTCCTCTGTGTAAAGACGTCTCTGTGTGAAAGTTCCTCTGTGTAAAGATTTCTCTGCCTAAAAGACTTCTCTGTGTAAAAGCTTCTGTGTGCAAACGTATCTTTGTGTAAAAGTCTCTGTGTGTAAAAGCTCTTCTGTGTAGAGACATCTTTGTGTAAACGCATCTGTGTGTAAAGGCTCCCCTGTGTAAAGACTTCTCCGTGTCAAAGCGTCTCTATGCAAAAGATGCTGTGTGTAAACTCGTCTGTGTGAAAAAAATTTCTCTGTGTAAAGCCTCCTCTGTGAAAGAGTTTCTGTGCGCCGTAAAGGCGTCTGTGTGTAAAGCCTTCTGTGGGTACACGCTCTGTGTGTAAAAGCTTCTGTGTGTAAAAGCTCCTCTATGTACAGGCTTCTCTGTGTAAAAGTTCCTCTGTGTAAAGCTTTCTCTGCGTAAAAGACTTCTCTGTGTAAAAGTTTCTGTGTGTACAAGTTTCTCTCTGTAAGAGCTACTCTGTGTAAAAGCTTCTGCGCGGAAAGGCTTCTGTTTGTAAGCGTGTCTGTGTGTAAAGACTCCTCTGTTTAAGCCCCTCTGCGTGTAAAAGTTTCTGCGTGTAAAAGCTCCTCTGTGTAAAGGCTAATTGTGTAAAAGCTTCTGTGTGTAAAATCTCCTCTGTGTAAAGACTTCTCCGTGTAAAAGCTCCTCTGTGTAAAGACTTCTCTGCCTAAAAGACTTCTCTGTGTAAAAGCTTCTGTGTGTAAAAGCACCTGTGTGTAAAAGCTCCTCTGTGTACAGGTTTGTTTGTGCAAAAGCTTTTTTGTGTAAAAGCTTCTGTGTGTCAAACCTTCTCTGTGTAAACGCGCTGTGTGTAAAAGCTTCTGTGTGTAAAAGCTCCTCTATGTACAGGCTTCTCTGTGTAAAAGTTCTTCTGTGTAAAGTTTTCTCTGCGTAAAAGACTTCTCTGTGTAAAAGCTTCTGTGTGTACAAGTTTCTCTCTGTAAGAGCTACTCTGTGTAAAAGCTTCTGCGCGTAAAGGCTTCTGTTTGTAACGTGTCTGTGTGTAAAGACTCCTCTGTTCAAGCCCCTCTGTGTGTAAAAGTTTCTGCGTGTAAAAGCTCCTCTGTGTAAAGGCTAATTGTGTACAAGTTTCTGTGTGTAAAATCTCCTCTGTGTAAAAACTTCTCTGTGTAAAACCTGCTGTGTGTAGAGATTTCTCTGCGTAAAAGACTTCTCTGTGTAAAAGTTCCTCTGTGTAAAGATTTCTCTGCGTAAAAGACTCCTCTGTTTAAACTCCTCTGTTTTCAGCAATGCGATTGTCCCGAAACATTGTGTGCCCAAGATTGGTCAAACGGTGTTCAAATGTTGGGCAATGGGACATGCACGGGCAAAAATTTGTTGATTGGACGGGGTTTCAACCAGACATGAAGCTGTGGAAATGGCTTGGGGAGAGTTCAATGCAGAGCTGTTGGTGCGGGTTTTTCAGGACAAATTTCATCATTGCGATTGTCCTGAAAAATTGTGTACCCAAGACTGGTCAAACGGTCCCAAGACTGGTCAAACGGTTTCCAAACGCTGAAAAATGGGACATGAACGGCAAAACGTTTGTTGCTGCAGGCGGTTTCGTTTTCACAGGAAAGCTTTTACACACAGAAGCTTTTACAC